TGCGTGTGGCTGTCCCTGAGAAAACAATCTGTGTCCTGAGTACCAATTCTGTGTCCCTGAGATCACGATTCTGTGTCCCTCAAGTAACGATTCTGTGTCCCTAAGTAACGATTCTGTGGCCCTAAAGTCTCATCTGAGGCCCTAATTCTGTCCCTAATACCGACAGGTCCCAGGTCTCTCTTGAATACCGGAGGCTAATGGAGAATTTTAAGATGCCGCAATTTAATCGCTCCAACCATTACACAGATGCTGGCTGGCTGGCTGCTGATTGGCTAATGCCGTCACATCCATGAAATAATGCATTATGGGTCAGCGCGACTTGTCTGCGCGCCTGCCCAGAGATCCATCGCTACCGTCGCCACACCTGTCTGCCCGCCAAGTTTTGGGAAAAATTCGATTCGTACATCCGAAGTATGCTAATTTTCGGATTTGGCGCGAATCGAATTTTTCCTGATACTACGAAACGAATTCCACTTCGCCATGTTCGATTCGCTCATTACTCTATCCCTAACCACCACTGCACCAGTCAGGTGTCCTCTTCATACACCTGCCGACCAACCTCACAGTGTCCCTAATCACTAAAATCAACTGCCACCAGTCATGTCCCCTAAATCAACCGGCAGTCTACTCCATCAGTGTCCCTAACTACCACCACCCACTCACACAATGGTCCTAATCCACTCAAAACACTTCAGCCACAACCAACAGAACCAGTAAGTGACCCTTTATCATTGGCCAACCATAATCACATAGTCCACCTTATCATTCCACCCGATAAATTCACAGTAGTACCCTAATCATCGTCCACACCATAGTAGTTTGTCCCTTATTCACCGCGCAACCTCAACACTCACTAGCATACCCTAATCACCACAGTCCCAACTCAGTGTCCCTAATCCCCACCACCACTTACAGTGTCCCTAATCACTCGCAATGTCTACTCACAATGTCCCAAATCACCATCACACCAGCCAGTTTTCCCTAATAACTGCCACCCACTCACAGTGTACCCTATTTAACCATGTGGGCCACACCACACCACCAGGATACTGTGTTCCATGATCATCGCCACACCAATCAGATCTTGTTATGTCCTAATTGAGTCCCTAACTATACGCTTAACAATCGCCACGCCAGTCATCTTGTTAGGGACCAAACCAGGCGGTAACCTCTAGCGCCCCACAGGACCAAATATCCCCAGGGTGCGGAATCTAAGCTAGCTCCGACCTGCTTGTTCACACCAGAGCCCCTGATGGTGGGCTGGATGGACTTGAGCACGACGAAACCAGAGTCGCGGCCCCTGGGTACAACCAGCTGTGGTAGAGGTACCTGCCAGTGGTACGTAGTAGGGTGAGAGCCTGATGTGAAGAGGTAAAGGGAAGCGAAGTCAGCCAAGCCAGGTCGGTAACAGTGGCGGCGTAACAGTATAAAATCAGCAGGCAAAGGGATAAACGGGTCACAAGCCGGGTTCAGTAACAGGATGTCAAAAACGTATAGGAGCAGACAGAAGAATGGTCGGAACGAGCCAGGGATCAGAGCAGGAGAAACGGTCAACAGAATCAGGGTCAGGTAGGGTTCGGCACCATGTAATCTCACAGGATACAACAGGAACAGCAGGAAAAAGACCATAAGGCAATTTGGACATTGCATTGGCCAGTTAAATAGCCTGCCTGGATCTGACAGGTGCGTCTGGGTCCTAGTTGCCTGCCCGGCGCCGTCATTGGTGACAGGTGCGCCTGGGTCCTAGTGCCCGCCTGCCTGTAGGTCTTGTCGGGATCCTACGCACTTGCAGATTCGTGCGTCTAGGGATTCCTGAGACATATTGTCCTTAGTCACTGCCACACCAGTCATGTTGCTCTTTATCATTGCCACAAACAGTTACTCTGTTCCTGATCACCTCCACACCAGGTGTAGTGTTGCCTCTGCCTGCTGCCAAATACTAAACCTGGCCCTGTCTATTGATCGGCTTTCTGCCTGCTGCCTGGACTGATCCTTTGCCTGTTTGCAGACCATGTCTCTGTCTGTGGCCTGAACTGACCCATCTGTACATCCTGCTGACTATGTTCCTGTGAAACATCACTCCAGTAAACATGGCATTCCTGGAGGCAGCCACATACCAAGTTAGGCATGCTTAGCTTATAGGAACTAGGACTGCTAAGGAGAATGCTACACTACACTGCATTGGCTGACCTTGCATTCAGGTGACCATTACAACACATTTGTTTTGACGTAACTGGTTATTTTGTGTGATACACAAGATACAATGTATGATATATAATTAGCCCAGACAGTGAACATACATGTGGTATCGTCATATTCGTTGGAAATACCTTAATAAATTGTACATTTTCTGTAAAAAAAAAAATTTTTCAATTTTATATCTGCATTTTCCAAAAAACTTGTGGCAAAAAAATACAATATTTAAAAGACTCACTACAGAGTCTTTCAAAATGGGTTGGTAGTCAGGAAATTAGATGTGTAATTTTATCTCCCTACACCAAAGTGCTCCTTGGATTTTGGGCCCCTCTATGTGGCTGGGCTGTGAAAAAGTCTCACACTTGGGGTATCCTCATAGGCAACAGTAGTAGAATGTGTTTTGAGGTGTAATTCTAAGTATGTATATGCTGTGTATTCAAAATGTTTTATCAATTGGCTACTTTGTGAAAAAAAAAATACTTTTAATAATTTTCTCTCCTGCTTTGTTCAAAACTAGTCATGAAAAATTACATTTCCAGAAGAACCACTATGCCTTTCCAGAAAATACCTTAGAGTGTTTATTTTTCCAAAATGGGGTCAGTTTGTTGGTGTTTACACTGTCCTGGAACAGCATAAACATGGGTGTTTCCACTATCTCCAGGGCTTCCTAAATGTGATAGGTAGTCAGGAAATTAAATATGTAATTTATGACTAATTTATGCTCCTTGAAAACCTAAAGGTTTGATTTTGAACCCCTCTATACATCTAGTTTGTGAAAATGTCTCACACATGTGGTATCCCCATACTCAGGAGGCAAAGCAGTGTGTGAGGGTGGGGTGTGATTTTTTGTGTGAGAAATACAGCAACTTGTTAAAAATGACAATAAAAAAAAAACATTTAGTTTCTTCGTTTTCCAAAAACATTTTAACAAAAAATACAACTTCGAAAAACTCACAATGCCCCTTACTAAATACCTTGTACTGTCTGTTTTTCCAAAAAGGGGCCATTTGGTATTGTCCTGGCACTGGGGCCTCAAGAAATATAGCACTATATAAGAATTGATCAATTTTTTAAATATATACAGCATACCACAGTTTGTACACTCTAAAACTTGAACAGACATTGATTTGGATTATTTTTTACTGAAGAAATGTAGCAAAATACAGTTTGGTTTAAATTTATGAAGAAAGATTATTTATTTGCAAAATGTTATAACCGAAACTAGGAAAAAGTGGGTAATTTTTTGCTCAATTTTCAGGGTTTTTTTTTTCATTTATATAGTAAAAAAAAATGAAAAACCCAGTGGCGATTAAATACCACCAAAAGAGAACTCTGTCTGTCTAAAAAAAATGTAAGAATTTATTTTGGGCACAATGTTGCATGACTGAATAATTGTCATTCAAAAGTGTGGGCAAAATGACAGTGACTTTTAAAAGTAGAACTAAACTCTCTAGTCAACATTAACTGTTTTTATTGTTATGCCGCTAGCACTAGTAAATAGACAGAAAAGTATATTACATTTACTTGTTTTAAGACTTTTTTACTACATTTTTTTTAGTTGCTTCCTTGTTTCTGGCCTAGGCCAAAAATATGTTGTACGTCCCAGGAGTATTCATGGGCATTTTGTTTTCATTTCTTCTGTAGGAGGGGAGGAGGGGCTTTCTCAGCTAGGAACAGCCTCCTGCCTGCATGTCTGAGCTAAGGACAGATGGATTCCTGGAAGTAAATGCTACATGAATCATCTCCTCTTACTCAAGATGGCCATAGCTAGAAATGTTGGGGTTCATTTTTCAAAGTGATTTCTTAATAAAATAAAGCACGTAGACATTGAAAGATGGGAGACTTTGCTTTGAATATTAAAAATTACTAAAATAGTGTTTTCATTTTGTGGTCTCAGATACAGTTACATTTTGTTTTAAGTAAATTAGCTAATTGTGTAGCTCCATATGCTCTCTCCTGTCAGCAAATTCTCTCTGTTAGACTGATAATGTTGGGAAATATAGAAAAGCTATATCACCTCACTTTACTAGTCTTTCCTCTGGCAATTTGAGGCTTGCTGTGAAGTGTTTTGCATAAAGCTAATATAAAAGCAAGTTCAAGAATTTATACAAACTATATCTAAAATATGTTTGATTGCATTATTGTAGTGCATGTTCCTAAAAGTTCTTCTTAGTTTTTGATAGAGGGGGCAAGGGTTAGAACCACTGTCAGATTTGTACAGCTATCCAGAGCTCAATTAAAGAGATTTCCCCCTCACTTCCTGTCCTGCTGAAATTCTAGCAGACAGAAAACAGGAAGTGAGGGGAACACTCCAACTGCCGCATTGAAACCAGGGAGGAGTTACCAACTCTAAAAAAAAAAAAAAACACACATAACATACACAATTATTGTATTTAAAGTTGATCTTTATAGCTGCCAGAGTTCAGTTTGATCCACTTTCTCACATTTTGTGAATGGATAAAGGGTTCAAAGAATCAATTTATCAGTTCTAAGTTGGTAGATACACTAAATTGCCAGAAGTATTGGGACGCCTGCCTTTACACACAAATGAATTTTAATGGTACCCCAGTTTTTAGTCGTAGGGATCAATATTGAGTTGGCCCACTCTTTGCAGCTATAACAGCTTCTTCTGGGAAGGCTGGAAAGGAGTGTATCTATGAGAATGGTTCCAGAAGCACATTTGTGTTCTATCGAGTTGAGGTCAGGACTATCAATTTCTTTATGGACCTTGCTTTGTACACTGGTGCTCAGTCATGTTGGAAGAGGAAGGGGCCATCCCCAAACTGTTCCCACAAAGTTTGGAGCATGAAATTGTCCAAAATGTCTTGGTATGCTGACGCCTTAAAGTGGAGTTCCAGTCTCCTCGGCACTTTTCTACAAAAAGCACCCCTGTGATTCTCTTCAGTTGCAGTATATAATTAGGACAGTGTTCTCAGTGTATGTTTGCTTACTTGTAAATGTGACATTCCTCAGCAGGATCCCGGCAGACAGGCAGCAGCCATTACTAGTGTGGGCATCTCAAGCCAGCTCCTACTTTCTTCTGCGATTCGATGCAGCTGGCTACCCAGCATGCACCTCCTGATCTTGTGCTTGCACTGTAAGTACACAGCGTGGTGCACTGTGTTGATTGTAGGTTGTCAATCATTCCTCACAATAACGTCACTTCCGGTCAAGAAATACCATGAGACTTCACCATTAGGCTTCCCAAAGACACCTAGGAAAACCAATGCCGATATCCCAAGAGTCCTAGGGAACTGCCTAATAATGAAATTGTCTAGGTGGCTGGACTGGAAGTGCAGGATACTGATAGCAAAAAAAAGGTATTTAGAAAAAAAAATAAATAAATAAAAAATACCATAACAGACTGTTCTGTGGGTGGGCATTGTGTGGCAATGATCATGAAAATAAGGGTGGCACTCTGCTTTAAGAGTTCCTTTCACTGGAACTAAGGGGCCAAGCCCAACTCCTGAAAAACAACCCTACACCGTAATCCCCCCTTCACCAAACTGTACACTTGCACAGTGCAGTCAGGCAAGTACCATTCTCCTGGCAACCACCAAACCCAGATGCATCCATTGTATTTCCAGACAGAGAAGCATGATTTGTCACTCCAGAGAACATGTCTCCACTACTCTAGAGTATAGTGGTGGCATGCTTTACACCACTGCATTCAATACTTTGCAATGCACTTGGTGTTGTAAGGCTTGGGTGCAGCTGCTTGACCATGGAAACCCACTCCATGAAGCTCTCTAAGTTGTTGTGATAATCTGAAGGCCACACAAAGTTTGGAGGTCTTTAACTATTGACACTGCCGACAGTTTACAACTTCTGCGCATTGTGCGCTTCAGCATGTGCTGACCCTGCTCTGTCATTTTATGTGGCCTACCACTTCGAATTGCTGTTGTTCCCAGTTGCTTCCACTTTGTTACAATGCTACTAACAGTTGACCATGGAATATTTAGTAGCAAGGAAATTTCACGGATGGACTTATTGCACAGGGGGCAACCTATTACGGTACCTCACTTGAATTCACTGAGCTCCTGAGAGCGACCCATTCTTTCATAAGTGTTTGTAGAAGCAGTCTGCATGCCGAGGTGCTTGATTTTATACACCTGTGATCATGGAGATGATTGGAACACCTGAATCCAATGATTTGGAGGGGTGTCCCAATACTTTTGGCAATATAGTGTATGCTGTGTACAACCCCCTTACCTTGGGATGTCAGCATCCCATTCTGGCCATCATAGTATAAAAGAGGTCTTTTGGACCCATTTAGTATGGAATACATCTTTGCTTATTTATTTGCTAACAATACAGAGGGTCCAGACTCTTCACCAGCCAACTACATATTGTAATACCAGCCTTCATGTATCTTTATGGGAGGGGTATGTAAAGGTTTTAAGTAAAAGAAAAAAAGAGCTTGGTTCTCCTGATCTAGCTTGCTATTCTCTTTTTCAATGGTATAAGATGTAGTAAAAGCCTACAGAATAAGTTTAAATGTACACATTTTTATAAAGATTATTCGTGGTCAATTTCACTGTGCATACAGGCAATGGTGTTACAAACAATCTCCATACTGCTTGCTTTAGACCACAAAGCTTTAATAGGCTCTTCCTGTTGAGTGTTTCAGTTTACACTTGTGAACAGGTCAGAACATTCTTAAATTGGCAAAAACATTAAGCTGTGTGAATTCATTTACCATGTATCAACTTTCTCTATATACTACAATGTGTTGCTTGCCAGTGGTCAATATACTGCTTTGTTGGAAGCTCTTAAAATGTGTATTGCTCAGTAGTATTTTGATCTTTGGATTTGGTCAGGTAATTTGAGATCAACACATTTGTTTCTTAATCTTAAGCAGCTGTAGCAGAAGGCGTGAAAACAATATTTTCTCTTTCCTCAGGTGTAAATGACCGAGTTTCAGTTTTCTCACTCAGTTGTTTTGATCCAAATTGGCAAAGAAATCCATTTCTCAGGTGAGCACACACAGAGCAAGATGAAAGGCAGATGCTTCATTGTTAATACAAGTTCTAGTAGTCTAGGAAAGTGATATTTTAAAGTAGCAGGATACCAGCCTTAACTTTAGGAAGGCAGAATACATCATGAAATGATTTATACATATAGCAAAAGTAAAACATTTATTTGCCTAAATTCGATTTTAAAGCAAGATAAGAAAAAACACCACCTAATGCCATTATGTATTCATTAAAAAACGGAAGAGACCATTTACACTTGTAAGTCAGGCAGATTCTAAGGCAGCAATGGGCAAACTACGGCCCGGCGGACCTTTTAATCCGGCCCGCAGAGCGTGGCAAACATTGGCTGTCAGGATGTAGGCGGGGCAGCGTGATGAACTCCTCTCCTCTCACAGTCCGCCCTGAAGACCGGAACGGCGCGGGAACACGGCGAGAGGAACGCGCGGAGCAAAGGTAAGTGAATTGACACAATATGGGGAATGAATTACTATAGGGGGGATGAATTACTTTAGGGGGGATGAATTACTATAGGGGGGAATGAATTACTATAGGGGGGATGAATTACTATATGGGGGATGAATTACTATGGGGGATGAATTACTATATGGGGGATTAATTACTATGGGGGATGAATTACTATATGGGGGATTAATTACTATGGGGGATGAATTACTATATGGGGGATTAATTACTATAGGGGGGATGAATTACTATATGGGGGATGAATTACTATGGGGGATGAATTACTATGGGGGGTGAATTACTATATGGGGGATGAATTACTATGGGGGATTAATTACTATGGGGGATGAATTACTATATGGGGGATGAATTACTATGGGGGATGAATTACTATGGGGGATGAATTACTATATGGGGGATTAATTACTATAGGGGGGATGAATTACTATATTGGGGATGAATTACTATGGGGGATGAATTACTATATGGGGGATGAATTACTATATGGGGGATGAATTACTATATGGGGGATGAATTACTATGGGGGATGAATTACTATATGGGGGATTAATTACTATACTTACTATGGGGGAATATTACTATACTTACTATGGATGGCATGGTAGTGGCTGGGCCGGCCAGCAGCTAGTCCGGCCCCCGGGTCCAATATATGAACCCATTGCGGCGGCCCTCAAGTCAAAAAGTTTGCCCACCCCTGTTCTAAGGGATATGGATAACAAGTTTCAAGACCTCAGTCCTAATGTCCATTTTTTACTAGGCCTCTGCCCGTCAGTGGACAAAGTTCCACATAATGATCAGCTATGACCGAATATTACAGTCTTAGAAGCAAACAGCAGCCATCTACCCACATCCTCTTAACCTCCCTGGAGGTATTCCCAAGTGTAGCTCGGTGTAAATTTTAAGCACCACAAGCGATAACCCCAAGCTACACTCGGGAATACCCTGCAGCGCTGCTCCAGTATCTCTTCTGCACTTACCTTGTCCTTCGCTCCCGCGATGTCCCTTCTGCAGTGTCCCCGGCAATGTCCTCCGGGCGATGCTGGCATCCGTCTTCTGGGTTCCGCTCCCTGCGACGTTTGGATGTACGGGGACAGAACGGCGGGAAATTTAAAAATGTGAAAAAGTGACATTCACTAAATACACTAAAATCACATAGTAAAACATTACTGTATCAAACCATTTCACGTACATTTTGTCCCTAGTACTTTGTCCTGTCCCCTGTCTACATTTTTACCATTATTTCTGCCTGGAAACTGAGAAACGTCCATGGCATCCAAAAAGCGTCCCTTTAGGTCAAAAGCAGTTTTAGACAAGCTAGAGAACAGTGATAATAAATTAGAACCACTTTTAGAATTGAGTGATAATGATTCGTGAGGAAATTCAGCATCAGACACTGAAAACGATTCTGCGACTGAGCTCAACGATGTGCGAACTTGGGGCTCTATTTCAAATTTCAGTGTTCTTGGTTTGAATATATTATTGAATTAAATTTATTATATTATTTTTTATGATTATTGGTTACATTATAATTTATGATTTCGTGTTTCAAATTTTAACATACCCGGGATGTTTACTAGACTCTTGTTCGGACAGATTTCAGTGAGTTATTCCTAAAAATGACAGGCCTACAATAAAAAAAAAAATATTTTCCATGCAAAAAAATGTACCGCTTTGAGCACAGAAATACTGACATAATCAGACCGCTAGGGAGGTTAATAAGCAACAGGCAGGCCACCATTAATACAACCACCTCCCCATCCCTCCCTATCCACTCTCACTTTCTAATACACCTTAACAATTCAGTACTGTCCGCGATACTTTTTTTATTTGCACTAACATACAATTTTGAGGAAAAGCTTTCAGGGAGTGTCTCCTTCTTCAAGGTCCAAGCAGTACTGTTACAAAGTTTTAGCAGAATGTTAGAAGATATGGATAGAGAACAAAAAAAAAAAAAGGCAGAAAGTAACACAAGCCTAAGGTTAGCCTAGAGATAAGATACAGCAAAGCAAAAGCAAAGACTGGGGGGGGGGGGGGGGGGGGGGCACTCACAGAGGGAGTCATAAATATGTTGGATAATGATTGAGGAATCCCATGTCCAAATTAAGGCTGTTATCTCTTGTGTCAAATAGAATTATCATTCTTAGTTCAAAAGTTTTTCTTTCCTGAATGGAATTTGAAATTTCCTTTAAGAACTAAAACATTGAGGTCTTCCATAAAGTGGTCTGGTTGTGCGAAATGGTGTCCCACAGGTGTGCAAAGGTCATTTTTATGTTCCTTGATGGTATGTCTGTGCAAATTCATCCTTGTTTACAACTTCTGTCCTGTTTCACCAACATAAGATCCTTTGTTACACTTTCTGCACTGGATAAGGTACACAACTTGGCTGGAGGTGCAGCTGTATGATCCAGAGATATTGAAGATCTCTTTTGAGTGTTTGACACTTTTTGATGGATTGATTTGGTTGCACAGTTTGCAGCGTTTTTTATTGCAGGGTTTGCATCCATTATTTGTGACATCATAATCAGAAAGAAGTTTCCTACTGATTAGTTTATTTCTGAGGTTGGTGGGTTGTCTGAAGGCCAGTATTGGTGGTTGCTGGAATATTTCTTTCAGAGTTCCATCCTCTGTTATGATGGGTTGTAAATCTTTGATTATTTTTCTTATTCCTTCTAGTGCTGGGTTGTATGTGGTTACTACAGGTACACGGTTGTTTGTTTTTTTCTCTTTGTACTGAAGTAGATTTTCCCTTCAGGTTCTCAGGGCTGTGTTTATGCTGGTGTTGATAGTTTTGTCCTTGTAACCTTTCTTATGGAAGGAGTCTGCTAGTGTCCCAAGATGTGTATCTCTGTCTCTTGGGTCAGAACATATTCGGTGGTATCTAATGGCCTGACTGTGTATGATGCCACGTTTCGTGTGTTGGGGGTGGAAGCTAGAACTGTGGAGGTAGTTGCATCTGTCAGTGGGTTTCCTGTATATTGAGGTGTGAAGCGTATCATCCCTGATGTATACTGTGGTGTCTAGGAAGTTGACGTGTGTGTTTGAGTATTCCATTTTTAGTTTGATTGATGAATGAAAAGTGTTGATCAATGAGTAAAATTGTTTTAGGTATTCTTCACCTTCTGTCCATATGATGAAAATACCATCAAGAAGCGATAGTATCTGTATGGTTTTTGTTCCATGCTGTTCAGGAATTTTTCCTCCAGGTCAGCCATAAATAAATTGGTATATTGGGGTGCCATTTTACTTCCCATCGCAGTACCCATACATTGAAGATAGATGTCTTTATTGAAGGCAAAGTAGTTATGTGTAAGTATGAATTCAATGAGCTGTGTAACATCCTCAGCAGTGTATTTATGGTTTGGTGAGGATGATAAGGATCTGTGACATGCAGCTAATCCATCCTTGTGAGAGATATTACTATACAGGGATACTACATCCATAGTCACTAGAAGTGTATTAGATGGTAATTGCTGTATAATGTTGATCTTGTTCAGAAAGTCAGTTGTGTCTTGCAGGAAACTAGCAGTATTCTTGACTAACGGTTTTAAAAAAATTTTCTACAAAGCCTAAGATTTGTTTGGGGAGTGTATTCATACCTGTTATGATGGGTCTGCCTGGATCTCCTGGCTTGTGGATTTTGGGCAGCATGTAGAAGTCTCTGATTTCTGGATGATCCGGCATCGCATTTATAAGTTCTGAATGTAGGTGGGCTGGAAGTGTATTAATGAGACCTTTTAATTGTTTTGTATGTCCTGGGTCAGATCATAATCCAGTTTTTTATAGTAGATGGC